GCCGGGGACGAGCACGGTGCCACCGCCACTATCGAGGTGACCGCAATGGGCGACGAGGCGGAGCAGAAGTGAAAGGGGGACTTGCCTGGAGGGCCGCTGGCCGTGCCGCTCTGGGTGGAACTGCCTTTTCTCCGGCTGCGCTGCGGGACGAGGAGCGGTGGAACGAGGGGCGCGGGTTAATGAGACTCAGAGCAGCTCATGGTGGTAACGAGGAGGCTCAGGTCAGAGGGAAGGACGGGGAGGAAAGATGCCCGGAGAAAGGAAAGGCAAAAATGCTCTGCCCTGTTTGGAGGAGGAAAAAAAAAAAAAAAAGCTTAATTTTTTTTATAAAGCTTTCCTCCCCCATTCTGTTGGAATAGTTATTCCGTTCTAGCTCCCAGCCCTGCCTCGTCTGCAGGCGTAGCTGGAGCAGTGGTGGGCAGAGGAGCAGCAGGAGCAGGGTGAAGGCGGCAGCGAAAGGAAACGCAGGCGAAGCGCCGATCCGGCTGCTGTGGGTCTGGTGTGGGCTGGTGGGAGGTGGCAGGGAGCTGGTGGCTCCCCATCCCTGGGGAGGGCAAGGGGACGCCGAGAGCGGGTTGTCCATGCGATGCGTGCGGTCATCGACACTGGGAAGAGGCTCCTCGTGGCGGCGCAGGCGGGAGCCCTGGGAGGGCGGCTGCTGCGTGTGATGCTGGTTTGGGTGGAAGCCAGCGGAAGCTCTGGTGGCAGGGGGCACGGTGGGCTGCCCACGTCTGCTGGGGGAGGAGGAGGGAGAGAAACCCAGAGGGCTGGGAAGAGCTGTGATTTCTGAGGATTTAGGGTCTCGTTCTAGTTTTCTCAAAAAAAAAAAAAAAATTTGGGAGTTTTTCCAGCAAAGCCCTTTGGTTGTGGAGGTCTCTGCCGCAGGATACACGGCTCAGTGTGCAGAGAGAGGAGCCGAGCGGCAGCGCCCCGAGGAGCTCACACTTACTGTGACCCCGGTGCAGGATCCGGCCGGTCCCTGGTCCCCAGCATCTCGCCGGGCGCTGCTGTTCCCTCCCCACCGGGTTTGGGCAGCCGTTCGGTACCGGGGTGGTCGACCCCCCAGTACTCCTTCGACCATCACCCGGCTGCGGGTCCTGCCT